CGGAGCGTACAACGGCCGAAACGTTGTGACAAATATGGCGACAAAGATGAGGACAATAGTCCGACTAATGTAAATACTATATATATATATATTCTGCCTACATATTTTCAATTGGACCATTTCATATTCACAGATAAGCTTTTTGGTGTCGTCATTGAAGGACGAGAGAAAATCGTATGTACGTTTAAATGTTAGAAATTTCAAGTTTCAAATTTAAAGTCAAAGCCGAGTATGCTGATCGAGATCAGCGTAGCCGGTTTTGATGTATCTTTTATCCGAGTACATTCGATGTAGCACAATGTCATCATCAGAGTATTGTTTATTGCAAGACAAATATTGTAGTGTTTATGATTGTCGAAGATAAAATTGTTGTGTTCATCTGAAAGTTAAATTTCTTACTTGTGGAATCAAGAACGCTGACACCGTTTAAGGTGAGGTAACTAAATATAGTTGTGGAGAATTTTTTACGAAATAATTATTAAAAAAAACTATTAGTGCAAACCTTGGCATTTCAGATTATCTATTGTACACATTTAAAAACATTTGTGCAGTATTCGTACGTTGTCTCGGCAATTAAGTTTTCATTTGAATAATATGTTCAACATTTCTAAACGTTTTGAAACAACATATCTGTCCACATACGCAATTCAGAAAAATTCTTGTCGAAAATACTTCTATACTTTTTCACGAAACTAAAAATTCTCGACGTTATCTATATTAAAAAATTTGAAACCAAACCTTAATAAACTTAATTACGAATACTCCACAAATGTTTTAAAATGTCTACAATAAAAGAAATATTTATCAACCCGACGATTTTCTCTCGTCCTTCAATAACGACACCAAAAATCTTGCCCGTAAACATGAAAGGATCCAATTGAAAATAAGTAGACAGAACATGTCTAAATTATTTAAAGAAACATGTTTTTTTATATGAATATAACATTGAGTGTTGGTGATAACAAAATAGTTCTCGATGTATAATAACAGAGCTATAATTTATATTAACAATTTGCCGTTCTTGACTGAGTCAGAAAAGTACGCTGCCAGGCTCGAAGCTGACTTGTCGAACTTACTGGCTTCGAGCAGAGAGGAGCCCAGACGAGGCTATACCTACGAGCAGGGTCCCGTCTCGGGAGATACACAAACCCAACCCGGTGTATTCGGGGTCTACGGGAATTTTTCCCGAGCCTACTGTCTCGGATTCGGCTCACATAAAAACCGGCCTTGTACTCCATCCTGCCTTGTGGGGAGGTTGATAATTAGCAGCTTTAAATTATATTAAGAATAAATATATATTTTTTACTCACTGTTATGTACAATGCAATCCTCAAATGCACCTGACAAGTGCATTGCGCAGGAATCTCAGAGGTGTGCTACAGTTAAGGAAATAATATATTATACTACGAAGAACTCATGGAATTGCTAGGTAAACTTGATATATTTTTGAAGGATATTAGAATAATCGAGAAGATATACTGCGAGTCAACCCCCTGCATACGAATAGAAAAGAATTCAGTAAATAAACTAATACAAAAATGTGTGTAAGAAAAGCTAAGGTAATTAATTTAATTCATAAAACCCACTTAACCTAAGAGATCCTGAAGCATTTTCTTTACACATTTTTGTTTTTCTTTCATGCAAACTCATGAAGCCAAAACGATCATTCAAGAGCTAAGTTATAGGCACGGTGTAGTAATGGATAGAGGCTTGGATTGAGGAATCGCAGAGCCGGGTTCGAATTCCAGTCGAATCCATTACATTCACTTACGTGCTAATACCCTTGGTAAAGTTATGAATCCTCTTCCTCTCCCTCCAACTATGGGTAAAATAGCAGGACAGACTGGGTTCTATAGTCTTGGATGGCAACTGGTCTAGGAGAAGGATAACTCTGAATTCAAAACCTGCGGAGAGTCGTTTGGGGAACTTGTGGCACATAGTGCACCAGGTCTCTGTATTCTTCCCTTCAAAAAGTGTGGATGGTCCTGCACGAAACCTTCACCACTATAATCATATCTCATGTGCCGGTGTCGGGCTGTCGGTTTCCTGGAAACTGATCTGCTTGAGCCTCATACGTCGAATCTCGACTGGAGAGTCGACTATATATATATATATATATATATATATATATATATATATATATAGTTAAACCTAGAAGCCAGACAACCTACCACGGTTTCACCTTAGCGGATCGTCAGGGGAGGGTGGCTTTCCTTGACGATCCGCTTAGGTGAAACCTTGGTAGGTTTGTCTGGCTCTCTAGGTTTAACTAGGTATGTTCTACTTACCGTATTGAGCACTTTATTTAATTATTTTATGTACTCGCATCGGGATTTTTTCCTTTGGGCTTTGGACTTGCATGCTGGACGATTATTTTCGGCTAACGTACATGTTCTTGGTTCTTTCTTTTTTTATATCTTTTTTTCCCTTTGGCATTGGTTTGATTATTTGAAAATCAAGACACCGAAGGTTTTCTGAACGAGTATAGTTTCTTATACTTATAAGATTACTACTATTAATATATATATATATATATATATATATATATATATATATATATATATATATATATATATATATAATTTAGCTCTTGAAAAATATATTTCAATTGAGCACTGTTGAATGATAACCTAATTCTATAAACCACAGCAATCTGCGTTAATACAAAGCTCTTCAGTAAAATGAATGGAGCACTCCGGCTGATTGACATTCGTAACAACAATACGCTAGATTTAGCTGCTTAACTCTGCCGAATGAAGATAGCTCAGTGGTGGAAACCCTGACTGACACCAAATTAGTTGGGTCTCAATCCTGGCTATATGCATTCGAATGTCTAGTCGCACTGAGGAACTGTGAAACAGCGAAGCAGTACTGTCCGCGAATGACATAAATATAAATATTTATATGTTATTATTGTTTTTTAAAAATATGATTCCATCGCTACATAAGAATTCTCATGTTTCAAAAACAGAAGCTAAAAACTTTAATTTAATTTATAATTAAATTTTTTTTTTGAAACATGAGAACTCTTATGCTGCGATGGAATCATATTTAAAAAAAATAATTATAATTTAGGCTCTACCTATGTATTGAGCACTGATTTTTAAAAATAAATACAAAAATACCAAAGTACTTCGGAGTATTTACCTAACGGTTCTTTCCTATTTTTCTATATATTTGCACAGACATACACACACACACACACACACACACACACATATATATATATATATATTGAGAGAGAGAGAAAGAGAGAGATAGAAAGAGAGAGGGTGTCTGCCAAAAAATGCATATACACTTTAGGAAAGGAAAAATTTGTATAGATACTGTAATAGTGAATTTATTCGGACATAACAAGATTAATACCTTTTTAGTTACCTTTGGACTCTACAATCCCAAGAGATGCTCAAAATGGTGACCTTTAGCTTCCAGACATTTATATTAGTATGGCGAACGGCTGCTTGGGTAACGTTGGCCAAAGTGTCCAGTGAGATTTCTCCACAGGCATTTTCAATTTCTTGTCCAAGGGCAACCACTGCAATGCAATCTGCCGAGAAAATATCGTACTGCAGTAAAATGTGTTATGGCAATTTGATAAAATTACGAAAGCCAAGTTTTTTATTTTATTTCTTGAAGTGTATATACATTTTTGGGCAAACTCCCTCTTTCTCTCTCTCTCTTTATATATATATATATATATATATATATATATAAAATTTCCAAAAAATTTATATATATATATATATATATATATATATATATAAAATTTCAAAAAAAATTTCGCTTGAAGATGGAACAGAGCTTGGTGCTTTAATTCAATTTAATTCAAATAATTATATTGAAGTTTTCGGATCTTGTTTTGAAATATGAGAACTCTTATGTAGCGTTGGAATCATATTTTTAAATAAATAATTATATTTATGCTCTACTTTTTTATCGCGCATTGTTTTTTAAAATAATAAAAAAAAAAAATACTAAAGAACTTTGGATTATTTACCTAACGAGTTCTTTCCTATTTTCTATATTTTACACACACACACACACACACACACACATATATATATATATATATATATATATATATATATATATATATATATTATAAATTAATTGATTTAAAATATGATTTTTTTTCACTACACAGTTCTAACCATGTTTCTAAAAGCCCCGAATTTAATTTTTAATTAAATTAAAGACATTAGTTCCATTTCATCCTCAAGCGAATTTTGGAGTAACTTTTAAAATTACTGGGTTTTTTTTTCTTTTATTTATATATTTATATATATATATATATATATATATATATATATATATATATATATATATGCGTATAAAAGGCAGAATGAAACTAGGGAGAAAGAAAGAAATCCTAAAACAACAATGTTTTCTTTCTTTCTTTCCTTCTCTCTTATTTTCTCTTTTTATTATTCCTTCCATTTTTTCCTTCGTTTATGCTTTCTTTCTCACTCTTATCTCTCCCCCACCTCTCTCTCCCCTCTCTCTCTCGTCTTCACAAATCTTTCTCCTCACTCATTTTCCTTTCTTTCTTTCTTTTTCCAGTTTCCTACCGATATTATTACTATCACCACAAAAAAAAAAGGATGGAAAAAGAAAACCTAACAACAGTATGTCGAATTCCATACAATTCGCACAAACGTAGGCTTAATATTGCGCATGCGTAGTTGGTGATAATTTATATAATCAAGTTCAAACCTTTTTCTTCCTTCAGTATATGTCAGACACGTGGGCACATTCTTGCGTGGGTAAGACGAATTGCTTTTGATTATTCGTCAATGCAAAGCTAAGAGTAGCAGACTGGCGGCCTTAAGTTTATGCAAAACTCACCACTTCTTGAACGTTTGATTTAGTTTCAGTCTAGTATTTGTATTAGTCGGAATATATGAACGAACATTTTTTTCACTACAGGACGACAATATTTTTCTTGGTTTGTGGTCTTGAAAAATCATTAACATTGTATCAGCATCAACTGTTAAAAGCAACGGGCATATCACGTTGCAACAGAGGTTCTCGTCTGATCATCGAAGTTAAGCAACGTCGGGTCTGGCCAGTACCGAGATGGGTGACCAGTTGGGAATACCAGATGCTGTAAGTTTTTATATGCTTGCGGCGTAAGAGATTACAGCTCGGAATTTGAGAGCGGAGAACCAATTCTAGTCGGGTTCGTTATATTCAATTAAGCGCAAGTACCCTATGGAAAGGTACGCAACCACCCATTCTACCCACCAGCTAAGGGTTAATTAGTAAGATTTGTATCAGTAAATCATTATAATCTCTAAAGAAAATTCTTACACTCTATAGAAGTAATTTTCTGTTTTTAAATAACCAGGAAAAAATTGAGAAGCCTTAAAGAAATCCATTATCATCTAGATGAAGAGCCCAACATGCGAATCGCTAATTAAAGATACCAAAATCAAGCAGGTACAAAAATTGTAATTATCTAGGAAGTGTGACGGAAAATGTGGCACTGAAATCCGAAGGTGTATTGGAATGGCGAAAGAGACCTTCCAAAAGTTAAGCAAAGTATTAAGAAACAGGAAATTGTCTCTAGAAACAAAGAAAAGATCACTGAACTGTTACGTAACAACAGTCCTTCTATGTGAGAGTGAATGCTGGACAATCTCGTCCCAGATGGAGAAGGAAGTTCAGGCCACAGAAAAGGGGTCCTATAGAAGGATGCTAAGAATATCATGAATTGAACACATGAACGGAGATATTTTAGAAAAAAGGGGAACAATAAGGACAAGGTAGTTGAAATTTCTAGGGCGCATAATGAGGAAAGAGGGTTTGGAGAATTTGTCACTCACAGGGCCTACTGAAAGCAAAAGAGAATTAGAGGAAATCTGTGAACAACCTGCGAGCTTGCGTAAATGGTTGGCAGAAACATAGATTAGCAGAGATAGCAAAAAGTGTAACAAAAGACAGGAAGTTGTTGAGGGCTATTATCGTCCACGTCTTGAACGGACACTGCACACAGAAGAAGAACAAGGGCAAAAAATTTACGCAAACTACAACTTTTTACAAGGTTTTCTTCTTTTTCTTTTCTTCCTAAGAATATGGATTTATTGAATTATCTCCTTTCAAATAGTTTGAATTATTAACCTTTACAAGTCTTAAATCGATTTATATCTTTGGCTGATGAAGGCTCTATATTTCTTGAAACATGCCTGAGCATTCTATAAAAAATATATACGTGTTGTAACAGCAAAATTGTCCAAATCCTGTCACAGCAAAATTGTTCAATTGTTAAATAGAGCTCTGAACTGTTGTATTTTAGAAATGATTAAAGATATCTTACTGGAATTCTCCAAGGTTTTTATAACATTATCGGACCCTATTTTGAGCAATAAGAATGTATAATTACTCTCTAATCTTAACAGAAGAACCGTGATGAAATCGATCATAAACGAAAGTGTCATGTTCATCCTTAATTAATCATAGTTAAGGATCTGAAGCTCATAAAGTGTAGAAATAAATTTCAAATATATATATCTTATTCCAGGCTCATTTTTCAAATATTTCAAAATGATCTTCGCCCTCTCTAACCTTCTAACTTTCTGTCCTGGTGTAACAAATTGCCTCACAGTGTTCAAGTACGATTTCATTTTCAAGCCAAATGTCTTGTGAATTGAGTTGGATCTTTTCTAATTTGTCTCTTTAGCTCTAAGTTGAAACGATGATCCTTCTTGCTGTTTTTACCCCCTGATCCCGTTTTCCTCTCTAATGTCCCCTCCTTTTTAATTTATTCATAGTTCTCTTGATGGTTCTTGAACGGTCTTTGAAGATGGAAGCCAAACTATGAATGTTGGTACCTTTAGTGAATGTTTGAATGATATTTTCCTCTCACTATTGCTCAGTTGGGAAAACAGTGGGTCTGACAAAAAGCTGAATAACTCAGAGGGTATTTTAGTGATTCTTACGAACAATGGTATCAAAACGTTTTATTTGAAAACCTGGAAAAAACGCGGAGGACGCTAACTGCGACACTGAGATCCGTAGACGTATTGGGATGGCAAAGGATACATTCCAAAATCTGGGCAGAGTATTGCGAGACAAAAGGAATTCTTTGATAACAAAGAAAAGAATACTGAGCTGTCATGTGACATCTGTCCTTCTTTACGTCAGCAAATGCTGGATGATTTCCTCTAAAGATGAAGAAGAGACTCGAGGCGACGGGGATGTGATTGTACAGAAGGGTGATGAGGATTTCGTGGACCGAGCGTGTGAGCAACGGTGAGGTCTTGGAGAGGATGCAGACAAGAAAGAGGCTCATGCATAACATTAGGAAGAGTCAAGTGAAGTTTCTGGGATACATAATGAGGAAGGAGGGCCTGGAGAATCTGATACTCACGGGTCGAATAGAAGGAAAGAGAGACAAGGGAAAGCAGTGCGTGACATTCCTGGAGGGATTGAGAAGGTGGATGACAGAACGTGGTCTTGGGTGGGGGGGATAGCAGAGGAAAGGAATTTGTTGAGAGGAAAGGACACGGTACATAAAAGAAGAATTAGTTTTTTTTTTTTTTAGATATTAAGCTAATAGATAATATATATATATATATATATATATATATATATATATATATATATATATATATATATATATATTAGCAGCATGGCCCGGCGTTGCGCGTGCTTGATTCAAAAATCGTACGACTCATACAGCAATCGCTATCACTTGACTTAAAATATTTTTGCCCTTCCTTGCCTTTAAAGGAGTGCCCATTGCCTTGCTGATGTTGCGACATGCCTTACTTCTTGCCTATCTCACACTGCGAATTTTTTCGAAGCTCTATACTAAACATTAAATCTGTTACAAAAAAAAAGAACTAAACAAAATGAACACAAAACAATCAGCTTTAAAAAGGACTCGTAACTGGGAAAAAAAACGAATGAAAAAGAATGTTAACAACAAATACTTTTTTCACACCCAACCCAGTTCTGCGGAATCAGAATCAACGTTGATTTTAAGCAAGCGAATGAGCCAATTGGAGTAAAGTGCCATGCAGATTTAAATTTTTCCCACTTGTGACGAATGCAGCTATCGATTTTTTTTTTTGCATACTAGCATGCTAATTAACATTCGTGTCAGTCAGCTGTTGGCTCTCACGCTGGCCAGTAGAATCTTCCTGCCTATTCGTTGCAGCCAGCTATAGGCTCTCACTCTGACCAGTAGAAAATGGCCGCAAACTACATGAAAACTGCCGCAGAAGCATGAAAAAATCGATTATTTCCACTATCGATAGGAGTTGGGAAATGCAAAGCTGGTCTTGGCCTTCCCGCTACCTTGGAGCATGTACATTTAAATTTTGTTTCAAATCCGTCGAAAATTGCTGCCGTGCATTCGTTACACACACACACACACACACACACACACACACACACACACACACACATCCTGCCTTTTATATATATTTATATATATATATATATATATATATATATATATATATATATATATATATATATATATATATATCAATATATTATATAACATAAATATATGTAGATAATATTTTTTATTGGATTGGATAATTATGCTGTAACACGATTTGGACAATTTTGCTGGTACCCCCGATTTGTGCTACAGTTTGTTTTTATCATCCACCTGAACATGTAATCGCCTGACCAATTCTACCTCCTTCTCTTGACAAAATTGGAAGAATGGTATCTGTAACCTGTTATATATCTCTAAAAAAAAAAATAAATTATAAAAAAATTTTAAATTTAAAAAAATAAAAAAAGAGATAAATACAGCTACTGAAGATATTAATATATTTATTGTTTACCCAATACAAGGTCGAAGAGTCACTGAAGGTAGTGTTATTTAATAAGATTGTTGTAAAGGGGCAAATAGTGGAAAAAAAAACATGTAAGTTATGAGGATATTTAGGATAGATAACAGTTGAACTTAGACATAAAGAGGTTAAGATCATAGTGATCTGGGAAGCATCCACTCAGGAGTTTATTCCTCCAGTTCTGGGGAAGAATCTGTCTGAGTGGAACTTCCTCCTTACCAATGGAATACTAAGGGAATGAGGATGAGTTGACAATGCGGAGGTGGCATCGCGAGTCTTAGCTGTGAAGGGTTTAATTCGTGGAAGTAAGGAATTTAACCTGCCCGAACATTTGAACATGGAAACAGTGAAAAATTAGCGAGAGGCTAGCAACGTTTTCTTTAAGGGAAAGGTTTTTGTGCGGGGTAACAAACATAGTTTATCACCCACAGGGTCACGTCAACGATTTTGAACTCTGTGTGAGGATTGGGCAGTTCCAGCCCTGATCTAGCAGTAATTTTCCACTTTTCGATCTGATATGACTCTTGTAACGATAGAGGATAGTTGGGGGGGGTCAAGTTTTCGAGATGGACTACTCCAAAGAAGCCTAAGATCGTGTCATATGCAGGGAAAGTGATGGTCTCATTTTTTTTTTCTTAGATTACTGTGCCAACTTGCTGAAGCAATTATGAAAAGCTATCAAGACGAAACCAGCAGAAAAATAACTGACAAAAGTGTCTTGTTTCATCAGGATAATAGCACAGCACACATGTCCTTGTTTTCAAATACTGCTGTGCGCGACTGTGGCGTTCAACTGGTTGATAACTCTCCATATTCTACTGATCTGACTATCATCTGTTCCCCAACATGAAAAAAAAAAAAACACTTAGCTGGCAACCAGCATATAGTCATATCTGCTGTTGATACCAACAGTATTAACAGTCTTTTTCAACAGTCAGATATCATCTTACGAAAGAAAAATAGGAAAGAACCGTTAGGTAAATACTCCGAAGTACTTTAGTATTTTTGTATTTATTTTTAAAAATCAGTGCTCAATACATAAGTAGAGCCTAAATTATAATTATTTTTTTTAAATATGATTCCATCGCAGCATAAGAGTTCTCATGTTTCAAAAAAAAGAAAAAAATTCAGTTATTGATAAGAAGAGTTGAAGTTAATTTATGCAGAATGTTTCAGCTTTAGACTCACTCGTTCATAGTCAGCCATTGAACTATTCATCCCACTCACCTACTTTCAGAACCGTTACAAGGAACCGTCCATTTTTCCAAGCATTTTTAACGATGGATCGTATAAATGA